GCCCATAGGGCGGCAAGCGAGTAATGATATTAAGAAAAAAAAAAAAAAAAAAAAAAAAAAAAAGAGAATTTGGCGCATCTTTTAAAACAGTTTTACTGGTGAGGGAGGCGAGAGGCTTTTTTTCTTTGATATATATAACGTCACCCCGCTTATCGCTGTTCGCTATGGCAGGGCCGTAGTGAGCGGCACGAGCTAGCTCGAGCCGAGCTGGAGGGTGAGCTCGAGCTGGCCTGGCATGAGCTCGAGCCTGGATTGATTATATACATAATACTGACAAACTAAACTAAACTAAGCGAAATTTTCATCTTTCTCACTACTATCAGCTAAATTGTGCATTTCGAAGTTGTTGGTAGGTCAGAATGAGCTCCAAGTCTCTAATTATTACTATATTAGGTGTTTACAGTTTATGAAACCTTGCACTGGCTAAGCATTTTAGCGAGCTGTCAAGAAAAACACAAGCATGATCTTGGCTCGTTTGAGCTCGGGCTCGAGCTGGCTCGAGCTGGCTCGGCTCGTGCCGCTCACTATCACGGCCGGCCTGAATGTTTCAGGCCGGCCTAGGCCTAGATTTCTATGGCCTGGCCTGGCCGGCCCGTTGGGAACACTGCACGTAACTGACGCGCCAAGAAAGCGGTGGTGAAGGTGTCCAGCTATGGGAGTTTCTTCGGAGTATGGCGGCCCATCCAGGATGAGTCATAACTGATAGGTGAGGAGGTGGGCGATCAGACAGTTAATAGGAAGAGCGGCGAGGGGAGACTGGCCTGAGCACATACCAGCTTCGATGTGAAGCCCCCTCGTGAAGCCTGGTCTCTCTTGTTGGTACTTCGCGCTACTGGAGTGGTGATGGCCTAGAAGACGAGGGCTGAGACTCCGCAGGAGGGTCACGTACAGACATTGCCAGGTGGGAAGAGCGCGTCGCGAGGATTCAGGACTGCAGCCAAAGGCACGGGTTGTCATGATGCAAGATGCGTCACAGAGTAGAGACTTATCCTGACTGCTGTGATCTCCGTTCACTGGAATTACAGCATGGCAACACTAGCTGGCATACTGCGGGGTAAAATACTAAGACAATGGAGATACGGGCTGGGCAAGACAGATGGCCCGGAATGCCCTGAAGGATCTGTTAGAGTGGGCAGCACGGGACTAGAGACCAGACGTTTCACAGGCAGGACAGCTAATTTCCATTAGTACTTATTTTCTTCTTTCCTTTGTCTTACTCTTTTCCTTCCCTTTGTCTTTTATGTACTTAAACCCTCGCCATAGCCCTTAGGGCAGCACACGAGAAATAATATTGTTTTTTTTTTTAAAAAAAAAAAAAAAAAAAAAAAAAAAACCACTGGAATTCTTCCCGCCCACGGACTTGTTATGGCTTACAGTTCCTAGATATCTGCCCTGCAAACAAACGGAGTACCGCCGGTGCCACCACATCCAAATCCGGCATCGTAGTACATGGAGTAGCCCTGAGGAAGGACCTCGGGAACATCCAGAGATGGATGGAAGCAGACAATAAAGACATAGGAAAGATCACGGGGATCAGATGGCTGAGGAACAAGACGACACTGAGGGAGGAGGGAAAAGTGACAAGTTCAGTAGTGGTATACCTGGAAGACACAACGGAAATAGACGGGGTGAGGCTAGGAGGAAGATGGTTGAAATCCAGCCGGTACGACTGGGACAGAGGACGGAAATAGGCAAAGGATGTCCCCCGCGTGGGCTCGGATCATCCACCTATAATACAGTGAGAGTCGTGGGTTTTATGTAGCTAGCTGTTATTTTTCTTTCCCTTACTGAAATAAATCCTCGCCATAGCCCGTAGGGCGGCATGCGAGTATTGATTATAAAAAAACAAACAAACGGAGTCGTTTGTTTGGCATCATGATGGCTTGGCATTTAGGGCAGGGTATTCTGATGGTGATATCACTCATTCACCGTCACATCCTCTGTCAACCGTTTGCTTCAACCGTTTGCTCTATTCCCCACACCACACAACCGATATTATTTAAGGCTGCTCTCATCCCTTCCCTATCTGCACAAGTTCATCGCCTCACCTGTTCTTACTTTCTCAGCACTGCAAACCGCCTTTCCACTCTTGCCTCATCTGCAACTTCATACTTTCAACCCTCCTTATCCTCCCCTCATCACCACAACCCGTCTTTCTATTCTTTCCTCTCTCTTTATCGATCACCCATTCTATCTCTTCACACCTTCGTATCACCTCATCACGACAGCTCCATGCCTCAGAACAAGACACAAGGAGAGTTTAATCCCACTGCACCTATGATTTCAGGTTAGTTTGTCATGCCTCTCGCGCTCTGAAAACCTACAAACTGACGCGTTGATTGCCCAACCAGCTGCCTTTAACCAACCAGCTGCTCCTAGCCAACCAGCTGCGCCTGCCCAACTAGCAGCCTCGGTCCAACCAGCAGCCCCTCCCCAACCAGCAGCTCCGGCCCAGCGAGCTGCGCAAAGGCGAAAGGGTGGCAGGCCCCGTAAACAGGGATCTGACTACGAGAGGAATCAGATTAAAAGATGGGGAAGGCGTAAAGCCCTGGAAAAAACTGGCAGGCTGGAAGAATTAGCTGAGTTCGACCGCCAGTTCGGACAACGCCAAAGCAGACGCAACAGAAGAACGGCTGTACATGCTTCTGACTACCGTGTGGTCCCTGGTGCAGACGCTCCCAGGTTTGTATAGAATGCAACCACGGAAGATCTCACCACAGTGACCATCGAGTCGGGCATGCTTGACAATAGTCCCACTACGCATATTTCATACGAGGAATCTCCTACCAGCATGGACAATTCTCCCATGGACGAAGATGCGCAAGCCGAAGAAGATTATTCTGCACCGGTATCGCCACAAGATATCACGGCGAACCAAAACAACTTTGCCACTACCGTGGAGGAAATCTTCCCAGACACAGAAGAAGATCTCTACTCCGAACTGTTTGTACCAAATATCGATTACATGGAACCCGTTGAAATCCTTCCCAGCTCCTACCTCGATAGTAGCGTTTCAAGTGGCCTCTTTGGCGAATTCCTGGAGCATATGGACATGGAGCTTCGTCAATCGGTATCGCCACAAGATATTACGGCGAACCAAAACAACTTTGCCACTACCGTGGAGGAAATCTTCCCAGGCACAGCAGGAGATCTCTACTCCCAACTGTTTACACAGAATATCAATCACATGGGACTCGTTGAAATCCTTCCCAGCTCCTACCTCGATAGTAGCGTTTTTAGTAGCCCCTTTGACGAATTCCTGGCGTATATGATCATGGAGCTTCGTCAATCTGGGACAGCGGAGCAACTGTCAACCAAATACCTTTTCCTCAGAAAGATTGGATTTCATAACAGATTTTGAACGTGTTGCGGAAGAAATTATCGAGTTGCAACTTGAATGTGTTTGGACCTAGGTGGCCGTGGTCGGATAGGCCTTGGATGGTGAGGGGGAGTGAACGATGAGTTATATTTATTTCGATCGCTTTAGTAAAATTCTTGTTGTCTTACTGATTGCTCAAAGGAACTTGCAGGTTCCTAACGATGGGTTCCTGGGATTTTTGTTTTTTATCATTACTCACGTGCAGCCCAGTGGGCTATGGCGAGGTGGGTTCCTGGGTCGTATTATTCTTATTCTTCCTACCTGCAGTCATTACTCGGAATTTTCGCAATCCAAAGAAAAGTAGAAAGATTTACCTTGCAATTGATGAGTGATGGGGGATCTTTGATGGCAACGGAACTATCATTGGACCTGTTTATCTTCATATGTTCAATTTGTGTTTGTAATTATGAAACTCTATCTAGTTACTATCTCAGACCGGAATGTTGAGAACTGGTGGAATACACACACAAGGTTCACATGTTGAATAGCGAATGCGACTCAGAACCGTGGGTGCGATGTGAAGTATTACAAAAGTGCCGATGTTTTTGTTTTTTTAATCATTGCTCGCATGCCGCCCTGGGGGGTATGGCGAGATTATGTACAAAGGAGATATTTAACCAAAAGGGAAGAGGAAAGGAACAAGAATATGAAAGGTGGCGACAGTGTAACCCTAAATGTAAATAACCAGCATCCGCCCTTCCCGCCTACCGTTCGACCCAATCCAGTAATTTCTTCAGCGTGTCCCTTTCCTTCTCATTCCCGTTCAGGGGTCGTAGCAGGTCGCCCTCGCCTCCGGGGCATTTTGCCTTCCATGCCTTGCAGCGGCCAAGTACGTGTGCTGTGGCCTCCTCCTCTTCCCCGCACCGCCTGCACTCTGGGCCGTCCGCCTTGCTCAGCTCGTACCTCCAGCGTCTTAGGCCAATATTCCCCCCACGGTTGACAACCTGTGCCCCAGCCTCTGCAGTGGTCTATAGCTCATGCCTAGTCTGTTGCTTTCCCTCGCTCTCCAGGATCTGGCCAATTGTCGCATGCCTGCTTCGGTGACTGTCTCGTCCTGATACTGTAGGAAGGCACCGGTCTTGGCTGCCTTGTCGGCTTCGGTGTTGCCTTGGACTCCCTTGTGTCCTTTCACCCACATCACTGCTACGTCTAGGTCTGCCCTCTTTGCCCTTGCCTCCCATCGTTCTCTGACCATTTGGGAGGCTCCTTCGTGTGTGGGTTTGCCCTCGGCGATCCTTCGGAGTTTGGAGATGCCGTTTTGGAGAAGAATGCCGAAAAGATTGTTTGCTTTCCTAATTACAGAACAAACATGCTACTTTAAACTACATGTTAACAAAGGAAGCAAAGAAAGTAATAATTCCAATCACAAAGTAAAGAAAGATTTCACGTCAAAGAATTCTAATAATCAAAGAACAATCAAAGAAGCCATAGAAAGATCCATTCTTTATGCCAGACAACCCGGTATCACAAGACCTAGCCTATTCCGGTGCAACGCCAATTCTTTCAGCTTCCCCACAGCACTACATTATGTAAATTCGGAATGGTAGCCCTGCTTTGCCTCGAATATAACTCAACAACTCATTTAGTGATTGATGGTGGGAGCGGGAAAGTCATGTCACTTGGGAACGTGGTTTAGTGGTATAGCCCATGATATGTTTTTGCCCAAGAGGCAACTGGGGTTCGATTCCCCACGTCCCCATAATTTATTACTAGTAGAAAGAATGGCCTTTGTTAATTTCCGGCACCTGTAAGCGTTCACAGCCACTGGTTGGGCAAGACAAAGAACCTGGGTAAGGTTCTGGTTACGAGACTAGGAGACTGGATGGAGAAGGCAAACCTGTTGAACGGCAGATTGTTAAAGGAGAGGAGGGAAGGGAAGAAGACCAGCTTAGTAGTAATCTATTACACGGAATTGCACTCCGGAAGGACCTGAACAATGTCCGGAGGTGGTTAGAGGCTGCTAACCGGGATCTAGGAAAGGTGGAAGGAATTCGATGGCTGAGAAAAAAGGCAATCCTAACGGAGGAAGGCAAAACCACCAGCTCAGTTGTGGTATACCTTGGGAGACAGGTTGAGCTGGAGAAGGTGAGACTGGGAGGGAAATGGTTGAAGGCTAGCCAGTACGAGTGGGACAGGGGAAGGAAGTGAGTTGGTACTGGTTTTCCCCCTGGTATTTGTACATTCCCATCACATCGGAGGATACAGGGACCACACTGGTATTGTGACTGTTATTTTCAATTCCCTTTTACACAGGAGGTTCTGGGGATTTCCACTTTTATCTGTTAATTTCACTGTCATTTTCACTTCCCCTGCACACAGGAGTCTCCGGGGAGTTCAACTTTTATTTCTGACTTTCTTTTTATTTTTATATATAACTAAATATCGCCATAGCCCTTAGGGCGGCATGCGATTAATGATATAAAAAAAAAAAAAAACTGCACGCATTCATTTCCATGTACCTGACATTTCGCTGTTTCTTCTGATTCTTACATTATGCATTCATTTCCATGTACCTATATAAAGACCTCGCCATAGTCCATAGAGCGGCATGCGAGTATTGATAAAAAAAAAAAAAAAAAAAAGAGCTGTCTTCTCTTGGCTCAACCTAACATACAGGCCACTGTCACGACTGGGCAGACACGTAGGCACCCTCGCAGGCCTCCTAGGGGGCAAAGGCCTCAGAGCATGGATACACAAGATAGGGAAGGCCGACAGCCCGGGATGCCGTTGGTGCAGAGAGCGGGAAGAAACGACAACACACCTCATGGACGAATGCCGAAGCTGGAAGAACAGGATATGGCCAGGAGGCAGACGAGACATCACGGACCCACCGAAACAGGACGGCGACCCGATCCTCGAGCTGATGGAACTCATAGAAGAGACGGACTAAATAAATTTTCTTATTTCCTATTTCCTACTCGATATCATGTAGTTAACCTTTTACTTTGCCCTGCCATGGCGAACAGCTCATGCAGGGTCACGTGCCCCCCCCCCCCAAAAAAAAAAAAACCCCTTTTACTTCCTTGTACTAAACCTCGCCATAGCCCATAGGGCGGCACGCGAGTACTGAAATAAAAAAGAAAAAGAAAAAAAAATTGCCCGGCATTCGTCTAGTAGGTGCTTGGTGGTTTCTTCCCGCTCGCCGCACCACCGGCATTCCGGTCCATCTGTTTTCCCTATGCTGTATCGCCACGCGCGTAGGCCCTTGCCCCCGAGGAGTCCTGCCAGAGCGGTGACGTGTGTGCCTAGGAATTGCAAAGGTCTGTAGTTCAGCTGTAGGCGGTTCCACTCTTCCGCTCTTTTTTCTTTTGCGTGCTGGCGAAGTCCGGATTCAGTGACTCGTTCATCGTGGTATTGCAGGTACGGTCCCACCTTGGCCGCCCTGTCCGCTTCCGTGTTGCCCTTGAGGCCCTTGTGGCCCTTTACCCACATGATACATCACGGCGACGTCGTGGTCCCCGCAAGCTATCCTATCTGCCCAGGCCCTTCTCACTGCGTTTATGGCTCCGCCTGGCCGGGGGTGGGGTGGCCCTGCGCTGCCTTTTTTTTTTTTTTTTTTATGTCATTACTCGCATGCCGCCTTGTAGGCTATGGCGAGGATTTAAATGCATAACAACGAATAAACAGAGTATAACATCACAGAAAAAGTAAAAACAACGTCGCAACATCGAGCGTGTCCTGCCCCACTCCGTCTACTCTGCCGCCCAGTCCATCACCTCCGCCAGCGTCATTTCTCCCCCCTAACCCCCTCATCCCTTATCGGCCCCCTTAGTCCCTCCTCTCCTCTCGGTAGTCTCTTCCTCCACACCTCGCACCCCCCATGATGTGCGCAAAATTTTCATAGTCTCTTCCGCACCACCTGCACTCGGGAGAAGTCTCCTTCCCTATCTTGTGTCTCCACTGTCGTAATCCCTTGTTTCCCAAGATTCCCGCGAGAGGGGATACCCTTCCCCTGCTCCCTAGATACTCCAGTGGTCTGTACGACAACTTCAATCTCTTTCTCTCCTCGGCTCTCCACTCTTTGATCTGCTGTTTGATCCCCGCTTCTGTCACTGTCTCATCCTGGTATTGCATTGCTGTGGCAACCTTCGCCGCCATGTCCGCCATGGCGTTGCCCCTAACTCCTCTGTGCGATTTCACCCACACCACCGCAACGTCATATTCCCCTCGGGCTACCCTCTCTTCCCACCGCCTCCTCACAAACTCAGCCGACCCCTCTGACGTTAGGTCTCCTCTCGCTATCCCTTGTAGTCTTGTTATGGTAACTCTGGAATCCGTGACGACCACCAACTCTCCCTCTCCTTTCAGGGCTTCTCCTACCGCTATTAATTCTGCATCGTTCACCGTGCATTGCCTCCCCAGATACACGGATCTGTCTTTGGTCCCCTGGTATACTCCAGCTCCTGTCCTCCCCTCTCTCCTGCTTCCATCTGTGTATATACTCACCCGCCCCTCCTCTGTCTCTCTGGCTATGATGTCTTCCCACTCTTGTCCACTAAGGTCTTTGGGATGGAACTGATGTATATGAATTGGTAAGGGGTCGCGGTGTTCGAGGGATCCTCTTAAGTACCTGGTCTCCGGTTGCGGGTCTCTTATTGGTTCCTTCTCAAACCTCAACGCTCTTGCTTCCACCCTCTTCGCCTCTCCGTTCACGAAGGTCTCAACTGATTCCAAGTTTGCCAACCCCTCCACCACGTCCCTCCTTGTCCCCCATGGAGCCACGACTATCTCCCTGGCTACTCCATACTGCCATTTCTCCAGCTGTCTGAGCTTGTGTTCCGGAGGGGAGGCTTTCGCGTAACTGGCCCACGCCCAACTTCCCCAGGTAGCTATGTTCCTGGCGATGCTTGTATACAACTGTCGTCCTCTGCCGGGGGGAATCTTGTTTAGTCTTGATGCTACCCGCCACGCCGCCTTCCCCAGTTGCAGCCTCCTGTTGAAGTGGTCATTGAATTTCAGCTCCCAGTCTACATACAGACCTACCAGCCTGTAGCTTCGCCCCTTTGTCCCTATCACGACTGTCTCAGACTTCCGTGGATCCAGCTCAAACCCCTCCTCCTGTGCCTCCTCAGTCAACCTCCTGCGATGTTCCACTATGTCTTTCTTCAGCTGCCTCAATGACCTGTTGGATACGACACTGTGAAAATCGTCTACATAGGACCTGGAGAACTCGCGGCTGTCGACTTTCTTGGCTACTGGCGCGACCGCCACCAGAAAGAGTACCGGGGATAGAGGGGTGCCCTGAGGGGTGCCATCGGTCATTCTGCTCTCCCCCCTGACCCTTCTATCCCACGATACTTTGAACCTTGTCGGCTGAAGAAACCCTTCCACGAATGCTGCTATGTTCGGATCAACCACATCTAATCTTCTCACCACTCTCTCTCTCCGTATGTGGTTGAACGCTGATTTTATGTCGTCTCCAACTATTGCTGTCCACTCCCCCTTCTGCAGTCTCCTGTCTACCTCCTTCAGTACCTGTCGCTGCAGATCCTCTGCACCTCGCTTTGGTCTACCGCCCAACTGAGTCTTTCTGAACAGTTCGTCTTGTCGTTGGATGAGGTCCGCTACTACCTTCTGGCCCAGTTTGGCGGCTGTATTCAGCAGGGTAATCGGTCTCCATCCTGCCGGGTCATCCCTGGGTCTGCCTTTTTTTTGTGTATCATCACGACATCGAACCCCCTGGCGAACTGGTGGTTCCCGTTTATGTACTCGACTATCTCTTCTCGAACTGCTGTCCATATTGGGGAACCTCTCAGCATCTTGAGAATCCCGTACTGTATTCCGTCTGGCCCCGGTGCTGATCTGGATTTCGTCTTTATCAGTGCCTGATCTATGGCGCGTCTCGCTTCCTCTCTGTCCATCAGCATTCCTGCTGGTCTCCGAGCGTATGTCTCGCTATGCTCCTCCGTGATGAAGTTCCTTTCTACTAGCATATCCATGACTTGCTGATCCGTGCCTGGGATGTTCATGAGCTCCTGCTCTCGAAAGGGGTCTCGTGCCAGTCTAAATATATCCCAAGGTGACGTTACTCTATCCTCCTCCATGTACTCCTCCCAGTAAGTCTTCTTCTTCTCCCTTATTATCTCCCTCAACAACCTCCTAGCTCTTGTCTTCTCCACCTGAGTGTTCCCTTTCCGGAGTATATATTTCACCATCTTTCGTGCCTCCTTCACCTCCTTGTCAAACCACCTCTTAGATCGCTCTGTTATACATGCTTCCCTCGTGAAGGTTTGGCACAACCTGGTGATCATTTCATATGCCTTCTCATCCTTCTCCAATGGCTTGTCTCCCCACTCCTTTAGAAAATCCTCCCATCTCTCCCAATCTGTGACCTTCAGGGTTCTGATGACTGGACCTCGTGTCTTTAGGCTGCCTTTACCATCTTGCCTATCGCCACCTTCGAGTCTGTAATGCTTAACCTCATCATATCAGTGGCGGGGTCAGGAGACATCTGTAGCAATTTTCCTTTCTTTCTTTACTTCTCTCCTATGTAACTAATCTCGCCATAGCCCATAGGGGCGGCAAGCGAGTAATGATAAAAAAAAAAAAAAAAAAGCAGGGCTGCATACGAGCAATGAACTCACAAATGAACGGATATATATGTACTGTAAAAATTGGCTCATAAAGAACGTCTTATGATCAAATCGATGTAAAACCGCCTTCGGTCTTAGGGCCCTAGTGACGAGTGGTCTCTTATGG